GTGTTTTGTAGTTGGATTAGGCCTCCATGTTGCATTGATGTTTCTCAAACATCTGCCAGGAAACAACTACCTTCAAAATTATGAGCAATTGCATTATAAACAGCTTTTGCAATTGTTGTCTTGCCTATTCCAGATGTCCCCCAAATCCCAACCACACAGCCACCATTTCCATCGACCCCTAAAAGCTCTTTCACCTCTTGTACGCAAGATTGTATTCCAACAGGGTGTTTGGCCACATTCAAATAGGTGCCATCAAGTACTCGGACTGAGATCTCTTTAACAATGTTACTGATTATTGTAGCTTCATAGCTAGCAGTTCAAAACAAAAAGCACATTTAATCAGTGAACTTTTTTTTTTTACTATATTTCAGAGATGTAAATGTTGTGCTAAGATAGCACCAAACCCGTTGGAACCAACTCAAGCTAACCCAGTTCCGAGATGGCGAGGAAATTCCACTAATATCAAAAGGAGATTACAAATAGAGTTTTAACTCTCAAACCCAAATCCCACATACAACCAATAGCTCTCACTCAAACTAAGAAACAAATGGAGAAGAAGAAACACATATCAAAATCCTTCTCTTCCAAAAGCTACACAAGTAGCACCAACATCTTTGATTGAGTGATTACTAACAAAATGGGATTATTACAAATGGGAGCAGGTCATATTCAAATGGGAGAGCCGAATGCTCTCCCTGGTTTCTCTCATCTGCCGCTCCCCCCTCTTTTCTTCTCTCGGCTTCTCCTCAAACATATAGCAGCTGCTGCTGCCTTAGAAAATACCAAAAGAAAAGCTCTTTTTTCAAGTTGCAAAGGAAGGAGCCGAATAAACCCAATTCCATTTGCCTATAAAAAAATCCAAAGTAAAGGAATAATCATTCCTTTACAAACATCATCATGACCTTCCTTTTTCTTTTCAACAAACATCATCATTGTGTCTTTACTCATAATGATGTCCACCAAACTTTTCTTTCTTTAATAGCCGAAAGGAGAGTTGGCTTGTAGTCCACTTGGCCACTAATTTGGCCGCTATCCAACAGTAAAAACAAATAGAGAAATATAAATATTACACTATATTAACAAAAAGTGTACTTGAAAATTTTTCTCTGTTTCTATCCAAAATGCACTAGTAATTACTAAAGTCAAGTATGTGTTGCTTGCTAAAGATCTAAAGAGTAAAAATGAAATACAAAACTAAAATGATGACATTATTGTAGGAAATTAACTATATAAATATACGGTAAGGGGAAGAAATGTACGTACCCTTCCTCCTTGACCAGATGTCCTGACAAATTTGCTACTTCTCTAAGAGCTCTCCTCCACATGAGCACCTTCTTCTTGTTGTCCTTGAATTTGCCCAGAAGTTTTGTAAACCCGACACCGAAACTACTCGTTTGATTTTGTACATGGGACGGATCCACCTTGTAAAAAACTGGCAAAACTATTTGTTGCTTTGATTTTTTACATTGACGAATCTTGATGAGCTCATCTAAGCACCACCTTGAAGATGCATAGTTTTTAGAGAATATGACAAGAGAAATTCTTGACCCTTCAATTGCTTGGAGGAGCGCTAGTGATATTTCTTCTCCTCGTGTACGTTGGCGATCAATGAAGGTGTTGATTCCCTTATCGACCAAAGCTTTGTATAAATGATCTGTAAAATTCGTGTGTGTGTCCTCTCCTCTAAAACTCAAAAACACATCATATCTCCATGAAGGAGGCAAGGAAGTAGAAGAGGCAAGTTGATCGGCCATAGGAGAATTGCAATGTGCGGTATGGTATGGACATTGGGCCCTCTCTTGTTATATCAGCCCTCATGCTTTTCTTGGCAACTTCATTTTCAATTATTGAATATTTTAATTGCAGGCATACGGCATGCAATGCAACAACATAATATATATATATATATAACAATGAAAGCGTCGTTGCTTCTCTGCCTTATATTAGAGTTAGTCTTCCATTCACATTGGTAAACAAAATATATAATATAAAACTGAAGAATGAAGTTTCTCAAAGCCTAGTTGTTTGCAATCTAAATTAGGGTTTTTCTATAATACTTCAATGTATGAGATGCGACTGTATTTGAAAGGTCAGATTGAAACTGTCAAGATCCATTTTTTCTAGCAAGTCACGCATCAAAATCTAAGTCAGCTGCAGCAGCATCAACCAAAAGTAGTTTTGAGAAAAGCATGGAATAAGTAGAAATGTGAAATCAAAAGTTAAGAGTGACTGGAAGTTGCATAGCTTACCGGAGGTCCAGTCACCAGCAAGCACTTGCCGGGAAGGCCATCTTTCGCTTCTCCTCCTCCTCCCTCTTCCACTGTCGTTCGTTTTCACCCCCGCTCGATCAGCCAACATGACTAACAGGACCGACAAGTCGTTGTGCAAGAGAGGGTACGCTGTTGATAATTTGATATCGTCACTGCTTTGGGCTGGGTATGTTTGGAGAATAAGGCCCGACCAGCCCATATGAGCCCAAAAAAATTAACCTCCTGCTCGGTAATTTTAATTTTTTTGAACAATTGATATTGTCTATGATAATGGGAATGAGGTGGGCTTAGCCTCACAATAAGCTAATAATAATATGGTTCAAATTCACTTTTGAAGAGAATCTAATATAAGACCTCTTACTTACAAGTGAAGAAGAATATTACTAGACCGTAGTATTAAGTGGTCGGTAATTTTAACCCATGAACTAATCTAAACTACCAATTAATAGAATCTTGTTTGCCAACCAAAACTTCAGAAAATTATTATTCTCTCTCATCAAAATTAAACAAAAGAAAAAGATATGGGCAATTTGATAATTACATACAATACAAATTTTGTTGTTTTTAACACAAACCTCATACCTAACACACCCTTTAAATGTTTAAAATTAAATATAAAAAATCTCCCACTTCAAACTTACCATCACGCGCATGCAACGATCAATAACAGCTCAATCAAGGAAGAGTCAAAGGTGATCAATATGATATTTATTCAATTCCTTCTCACCACTCCTCATCAATTTCTTATTGATTTTTATTTAAAATGTAACTCCCAAAACTTCCTATTTAATTTAAGAATAATTGTCATGTTACTTGCAATTATTCTTCAAATACCACCATATATGGCCGGCCATTCTCCACCCTAAGGGCCGGCCACCCTACTATAAATACTCTTTTTATCCCATTAAAATGCTAAGTCATTTGCTACCCACAAACTCTTAAAAACATTCTTTTTAGAATTCTAACTTTGATATCGGAAATTCTTCGGCCAAAGCCCCCTATTCATCGTGGACACATGAGGCTTTTGATCTTAATCTTAGGTGTTATTATTTTACATGTGCATTTTCGTCAAATGAGAAGATAGCAGAAATTTGAATCCACAATTTCCATCGACACCTAAAAGCTCTTTCACCTCTTGTACGCAAGATTCCAACTGGGTGTTTGGCCACATTCAAATATGTGCCATCAAGTACTCGGACTAAGATCTCGTTAACAGTGTTGCTCATTATTGTAGCTTCATAGCTAGCAGTTCAAAACAAATAACACATTTTATCAGTGAACTTTTTTTTGTTGCTATATTTCAGAGATGTAAAAACAACACAGAGAGAAATAATACACGATATTAACAAAAAGTGTAATTGAACATTTTTCTATGTTTCTATCCAAAATGCGCTAGTAATTACTAAAGTCAAGTATGTGTCGCTTGCTAAAGATCTAAAAATTAAAAATGAAACACAAAACTAAATTGATGACATTATTTTAGGAAATTAACAATATAAATACACAAAACTAAATGTACGTACTCTTCCTCCTTGACAAGAGATTTTTCAGTGCGATCTGAACACGGAGTGGTACACCATGTGTCAGTATACAAATAGTATGATATGTGTTAAAAAGTTTATAACTTAAAAAATAAAATTTCTCACCACTTATATAAAAACACGTGATGTACCATCCATATTCCGGTCACAATAAAATATTTCTCCTCCTTAACAGGATGTCCTGACAAATTTGCTACTGCTCTGAGAGCTCTCCTCCACATGAGCACCTTCTCCTTGTTGTCCTTGAATTTGCCCTCAAGCTTTGTAAACGCGTCACCAAAACTACTCGTTTGATTTCGAACATGGGACGGATCCACCTTGTAAAAAACTGGCAAAACTATTTGTTGCTTTGATTCTCTACATTGAAGAATCTTGACGAGCTCGTCCAAGCCCCATCTTGAAGATGCATAGGTTTGAGAAAATACGACAAGAGAAATTCTTCACTCTTCAATTGTTTTGGAGGAGTGTCAGTGATATTTCTTCTCCTCTTGTAAGTTGGCGATCAATGAAGGTGTTGATTCCCTTATCGTCCAAATCTTTGTATAAATGATCTGTAAAATTGGTTCGTATGTCCTCTCCTTTAAAGCTCAAAAGGACATCGTATTTCCACGAAGGAGTACTGCTGAAGGAAGAAGAAGAGACAAGTTGATTGCTCATTGGAGAAATCCAGGTGAAAACCTCTCGAAGAATCGAGTATGGATTCTTAACTTCCACTTGTTGAGTGTTTTCAATTGCTGGCTTACGGCATCCAATGCAACAACATACATACTACACATATCAAAGCGTCGTTGCTTCTCTGGCTTTTATTACAGTTAGTCCTCTGTTCACATGGGTAAAACAAATTAAAAAAAGCCTCGCATGCGCGCCTGTAGACAAAATATATAATATAAAAATGAAGAATGAAGTATCCCAAAGCCTGGTTTTGTAAAAGTATTACTTGTTGCTTTCTTCGATCTCCAACTGTTTTGTTTCGGTTTTCATGTTAATGTAATGAAATTTTGAGACCCTTTTGTTCGTCTTGAAAAGTATATTAGTCAGTTCTTCGTACGATGATTTGATAATCTGATAACCAAGGCATACTTCTAAATGTAAATACCAAGAACCACATTGAAGCAATTTTCTGCACTATGTTTTCCTCTGATTTATTTTCCGACGTTCGATGAATGAATGATCGAACTTAGGTTTTGGGTTTGTTTATCTACTGCATTTTAATAATTATTTTGCAATGTTGTGTTTAGGTTTGGGACATATACTTAGACTAAAATAATTATAATCTATAATCGAAACATTCACTAGTCTTAAACATTACAAACTTAGTCATTTTACTAGTAATTGTCTATTTTACACTAACACAAGCCTCTATTGATCACAGTAGTTGTCGACATACTTTGGCGTAAGGTTTTGGCAAATGTCAGCAGGAATTGGGAAGTGCCCAACATGTGTTCGACGAAATGGTCCAATGAATTTTCTTTTCTTTTTTTTTTGTAATTATAGCTTCATTATTTGAAAATTTTGGCTCCTCCACTTGACATCAATATTCGTCCGCTTAGAATGATCATCCTCTGGCTCCGAAGACAAGGAAAGTCATTGCTCTTGGTGATCATATGCATCATAGAAGATATCTGAGCCCTCCGAGAAGGAGGCCTCTTCCCAAGAGTGCTCGTTGGGCAAGCCGTTCATCTTGGTTGCGCGTAGGAGGTGCACCCCGCGGCTTTTAATGTGTGCGCCTTCGCTGAAACGAAATATAACTTGGCAAATATCTCTCCGCTGCGCATTCTCGTCTAAATCCAGTACCTTGAGCAACACATGAGCTGCCTCGATGTGCTTGTAACGTGAAAAATATGGTCCGAACCATGGAGATCTGTTGATGAGAATATAAGAATTAAAAAGATTAGTACCCGGTGCATCAAGAACCACAGATACAGCCAATCCTAATAACGTCTCCCCTTGTAAATTTAGAGGAATCTCAAAACAAAATTCACTGCCTCCAACAAATTCTTCTATTTCATCATCCTCTGGTAGATGTTCAACGGTTGTGGGATGATTAGAGGCATAGCTGAACCACTTTGGAACTTCATTGCCGGGATAAATAACTTCCAATCCAGGGCACCAAAGAGATTCCTGCAATGGTAGGTATATATATAGTTAACCTGCAAAGTTAATTTTCATTTCAAGAGAAATTAAGAAGAGAGAGGAACCTCATTCAACAAATTGTTTTCCAGCTTTGCCACCTCATCGCCAATTAGTGTATAGCAATTAGTCAAGTCCAGATAGTTAAGCATCGGGGGTAGTTTTGGAGTTTTCTCCAATGATGTGCACTCATTGAGATATAAAAACTTTAGGTTTGGTGGGAGGAGTTGTGGAATTTCCCGAAGCCTCTTGCAACCAGTCAAATAAAGTGTTTCCAAGTTGACAAATTTGCTAATGCAATCCGGAAGACTAACAAAATTGTTTCTCGAGAGATCAAGCCATGTGCTACAGTTGTCCTGTGAAGTCTCTAAGTCAGTTGAAAGCAGTTGAGACTCGGTACTGCTGGATGAAACTTCATCAAACTTCCTCTTGTTCTTCCCATATGTCACCAGTTTTGGGCATTGACGGAAAGAAACCGCAGAGAGAGATTGCAACCCAGAAAGATGATGTAATGATGTACCTATAAGGTTCTCACATTTATCTGCAAACAAATAGGCAAGCCCAGTAAGATATGCAATTGATGAAGGCAATTCTCTTATGCCACTTTCTCCTATATCCAAATCCGTTAGAGATTCCATCATGCGCTCTTCTATTTCTGGGAAACTCTCGAGCCTTGCGCAACTACGAAGAGAAAGCGTTTTAAGGAATCTCGATCCAAGTCTTGTTACAAACCTCGTAAGCTTAGAGCACCCATAAAGATTCAATTCAACAAGTTTATCAAGGAATCCAACAGAATCATCAACCTCAACCAAACTTTTACAATCACTTAGAACCAAGTGCTTTAGATTTGGACTTCCGGATAAGTCGGGGATTTTTTCTAAGATTCGCAACCACTTAAATTCATATTTGTAAGCTTTGCCAAATTCTGTGAAACCACAACCAAAACAAAAGTTTACATGCTTTAGAAAGATATAATGAAACACTTCAGTTTTTTTTTTTTTTATTTGGGGGAAATAAAAAATATATGTTCAAATAAATAATGGTTTAAATAATTTAAAGTATGTACCTTAAATCCCTTCAATGATCTGATGCCACTATATGCCACGTCAAACGTAGCAAGATATCTCGGATGATAATTGGGTGGTAAATTGAACACAACTATATGCCTTCGATGAAAATTGGATTGTCCACCCAATTCAATCCACCTCAAATCGTTGGGCAAATAATCAATGCGCCCAAAAAAGCGTGCATTACGATTTATAAAAATTTCAAGATTTACCATCCGCAAGAAGCTTTCTGCATTTAAGGTTATCACATCTGGTTCGGGCAGCTCCACCACAATGCCTATAATTTTCTTTGTTCCCTAAGATGGAAAAAAGAAATAATGTTAGCAAACAAGTCATATAACAAAGAATTCACAAAGGCTGTTTTAAAATCCTTTTTTTTTTCTATATCATGCCAAATTAAATGTAAGAAAATATATTGTACTTACTTGATTTTCAGTTAGAACATGATACACATCTTCATGAAACCACAACCTGCTACGCTTCCCTGGTTCAGTGGGAGATTCTTCGTAAACTATGCGCTTACCCATTTTTTCTAGCAAGTCATGCATCAAAATCATATTATCTTCAATAGTTATGATGGCATTCTCAACGAGTACTTCAATACAATCTTGAGGTACATTGAGCTTCGAACTTTTTAATATCTGTAACACGTAGTCTTTATGTTTACCCTTAAAGAAACATGCAATGTCTAGGAAAACTTGTTGTACAACATTATCCCAGGCATCATAACTTTTTTGAAGTATTCTTTGAATATCTGTATAAGGTTCTCCTACGTAAGAATCATAACTATCCAATATAGCTTTCCAGCGATCTATACTTTTCTTACGCATATGAGAACCTATCAAATTAAGAGCTAATGGAAGGCCTTGAGCATAAGCTATTGCACGACGTGCAAGTATTAAATAATCATCTGGAGGTTCATTTATTCCGAAGGCGTTCAAACTTAAAAGCTCAAGAGCCTTGTCATCCATTAGCTTTTGGACCTCATATATCAACTCAACTCCATAAGATTCCAGCAATCCTCTATTTTTTGAGGTTATGATCACTCTGCTACCCTCACCGAACTTATCAACTTCAACCAAGTTGTTTAACTGCTCCAATCGATCCACATCATCAAGAATTAAGAGAATCTTCTTTCCCCTCAACAGTTTCTTTATAAGGCTGATTCCTTCATGAACATCGACAACTTTCAACTCTGTACCGCATAGAACCTTAGAAAGAAGAGTGTTTTGTAGTTGGATTACGCCTTGACGTGATGTTGATGTTTCTCTAACATCTGCCAAGAAACATCTACCTTCAAACTTATGAGCAATCGCATTATAAACAGCTTTTGCAATTGTTGTCTTGCCTATTCCAGATATCCCCCAAATCCCAAACCACACAACGATCATCATTTCCACCAACACCTAAAAGCTCTTTTCACCTCTTGTACGCACGATTGTATTCCAACTGGGTGTTTGGCCACATTCAAACATGTGTCACCACGTACTTTGACTAAGATATCCTCGACAATGTTGCTGATAAATGTAGCTTCAGATCTAGCAGTTCAAAACAAATAACACATTTAATCAGTGACCTTTTTTTCTATATTTCTATCCAAATGAAAAAGGGTTTCAAATTGCACTAGTGATTACTAAAGTCCAGCATGTGTCGCTTGCTAGAAATCTAAACAGTAAAAATGAAACACAAAATTGACATTATTATAGAGAATTAACTATATAAATAAAACACTGTAAGGGGAAGAAATATACGTACTCTCCCTTTAGGAGTGGATATCCTGACAAATTTGCTACTTCTCTAAGAGCTCTCCTCCACATCAAGACCTTCTTCTTGTCTTTGAATTTGCTCTCGTGGTCTGTAAATGCGTCACCGAAACTACTCTTTTGATTTCCTACATGGGACGGATCCACCTTGTAAAAAACTGGCAAAACTATTTGTTTCTTTGATTCTCTACATTGAAGGATCTTCACGAGCTCGTCCAAGCAACACCTTGAGGATGCATAGCTTTTAGAGAATATGACGAGAGAAATTCTTGACTCTTCAATTGCTTTGAGAAGAGCCGGAGATATTTATTCTCCTCTTGAAAGCTGGTGATCAATGAAGGTGTGGATTCCTTTATCGACCAAACCCTTGTATAAATGATCGGTAAAATTGGTGCGTGTATCCTCTCCTCTAAAGCTCAAAAAGACATCGTATTTCCATGAAGGATTACTAGTGAAGGAAGAAGAAGAGACAAGTTGACCTGCCATACGAGAACTAAAGCCAGATAAAAAAAAGCCTCTCTCAAAGGATTGGAATATGCAGTATGGTATGGACAATGGACTCTCTATTGTTATATCAGTCCTCATTTTTCTTCCTACCTTATCTGGTAAAGTTGAAGAAACTTTCTTCCAAAAGCAATTTCCACCAAGCATTTTCTTACCTACTACTTTTCAATGTGGACAGGAACTTAGAGCATCTTCAAAGGAAATGTCAAAATGTTCAAATCAACAATAACAGTAACAAAAGACAACATTAATGTTTTCTTCCCTCTTTCTGCTAAATTTGACAGCACCTTCAAATTTTGTTAATGAATTATTAAATGCTTTTTATTAATTTTTTATTGGTTTAAAGCATCATCCTTTTGTTTCTTTTCATTCTCAATGCAAAGAAAATATATAAGAATTATTATTGGTAAATTACATAGTAACCCCTCAGGTTTGAGATCTATTACAATCTCATACAACATCTTTAAAACATTTCACTTTCATACCCTAAGTACTATTTTATTTCAATTTCATACATCCGTTACATTTTTCATTCATTGATCCGTTAAGTGCTGACGTGGTTGCCAAATGTGTGTCACGTGGCAAAAAAATAATTTTTTAATTTTTTTTAAAACTAAATATTCTAAATATTATAAAAAATAAATTTTTTTTTAAAAAAAAAAAAAATTAAAACCTTATTCCCCTTATCCTCCTCTCTTCTCCCCGCAACCCAGAAAGAAAAAAAAAAAACCCTTCAGTTTGTCTTTCCAACCCCCCTCTTCCCCTATCTTCTCCCTCATCTTCATCTTCTTCTCCCGACCCCCTACCTGCAACCCAAAAAAAAAAAAAACAAAAACCTAGATCTCGTCTCGCCATCGACCGGGGTTCTTCTTCTCCCGACCCCCTACCTGCAACCCAAAAAAAAAAAAAAAAAACAAAACCTAGATCTCGTCTCGCCATCGCCGGGGTTCGTGGAACGGGTATGAATTTAAGGAGTGGAGGGTGTTTAGAGGAGAGTGGGGGGTGTGTAGAGAGAAGAAAAGGGTGGGTGGTGGGGTTGCAGATGAGAGAAATGGATGGGATCAGGGTCTGGGTGACCTGCATCACCGGGGGGGGGGGGGGGGGGGGGGGGGGGGGGGTTGACCTACATCGCGCGGTAGAGGGGGGGTTAGGGTGAGCACCAGGGATATGGGTTTTGGGGGATATGGGGTTACAGGGATCTGAGGGACGATCTGGGTTTTCGTTTTTGGGGTAAGGGGTTACAGGGATATGCAATAGGTTTTTTTTTTTAAGGGTTTAGGTTTTTAATTAAAAAATTATTATTTTTGCCATGTGGCGTGCCACGTTGACAGTCACACCATCACCTAACAGATTAATGAATGAAAAATGTAACGAAATAATGAAATTGAAATAAAATAATACTTGAAGTATGAAAATGAAATGTTTTAAAGATGTGGTATGAGATTGTAATAAACCTCAATCCTGAGGAATTACTATGTAATTTACCGATTATTATTTTATATTTAAAATTTGACATATCAGTTAAAGAGTAAAAGTTAAAAAAATGCCAAAATACTACGTAAACTTTCAAATTTAAATTTGATATTTCCTTTAAAGATGGTTTTAAGACTTGTATCTTAAATTCTCGTCTTAAGACTTGTATCCCAAATTTAAAATTTAAAAATGCCACAATAACCTCACAAATTCTCATCTTAAGACTTGTATCCCAAACAATAATCCTGGGAAAATCTCTCAACACAAATTATTCCAACGTCCAACGTCCAACGTCCAGAGGTAAAATCAATCACCATCCCTAGGGTAAAGTCGAACACTAGCACCAGAGTATTGTCGAACACCAATATCATCGAGTCACATACAACGACATTGAACACTATTACCATCATAAACCAAAACCTCAAATGTGGACTAAGCAATGATTAAATGCTTAATTGAAAATAAGTCACACACTAACTTGCATAATAAGAAACTAACGAAAGCATTATGTTACGAAAGCAAACTGAAATTCATTGAACATAAGGAGGATCATTAAGTACAAAGACAACGATATGGGAATCGAGGGGAGCAGACAATCTTCAAACTTAATCCGATTTTCGTTTGTGTTTTTCCTAAATCTAATCCCTAAAAACAAAAGTAGAGAGCCAGCAACTTATCCATGGTGAAGACAAAGTGCAGGCAGACCTTTCAATTATCCTCTAAGCAACCCTACAGACATTGCCTCTCCCCTTCCATTTCGATTCCCCTACTCTCTACTCATCATCGTCTTCCTCCTACAACACAACCAAAACAAACAATTAAGTAACCAATTCAACTAACTGAACATGCAAAACAACGGAAACATTCACAATGTGAGCTCGATTAATCACAACTGACCTCGCCGCTCTCGTCCTCGTCTTCATCATCGTCATTTACCTCAGACTTGGACTTGTCAGACTCTTCTTCATCAGCTTCATTATTTCCATCAGCCTAATTCACGTAAATAAACCAACAAAGTCTCACAAATATCCTCAACCCGATAACTAAACGAATCACATGAAAGCCGGAGCAAGAGTGCTTACTAATTGCTTGTTGTATGCCTGAATGTTCTTGTTATATTCTACCTTCCTCTTGTCTGCCTTGGCTTGATAGGGAGCTTTCTCCTGATTAATTCAAGCACAGAGCATCAAAATTCAGCAAATAATCTCACATTATTCACTAATCAACGAAATTAAAACGATAATTGAACACTCACGGCATCTGACAACGATTTCCATTTATCGCCACCAGCTTTACCGACCTGTTTGATTACAATTGAACAAAATCAAGATCAATTTGCATTAATGTTTGATTTAACCTAATTAATTAATTAATCAAAACAACTAATCAGAGGCTAAAATCGACGAACAAGTTGGTAGATCTGAGAGGATGAGATTTTGACTTACGGCAGCAACCGACTTGTTGTTTGGATGCTCCTTCTTGTACTTCTCTCTGAAGTCCTCCCTGTAAAACGACGAAAGCAAACTTAAATTCGGGAAAGAAAAAATATCTGAAAAATAAAAAGATGCAGAAAAGGTCAGATCTAGAACTGGAACTGAAGAGAGAGAAAGAGAGTTGACCGTACATGAAAACGAAGAAGGCACTCGCAGGCCTCTTCGGCTTGTTCGGATCCTTTCCGGCTTTCTTCGCCGGCTTCTTGCTCGCTCCGGCACTCTTGCTCTTCAACCTTTCAAAATTCAAATTTCAAAAAAAAAAAATCAGCAAAAATTCAAACACACAAAGCACAGCAGAAATCAAAACACGGGAGAACAAATCACAGTTCTCCGATCGAACCGATGCAATCGGAGAGCAATCATAGCATAATAGAGCACAAAACTCACTTCGTATCGCGTTTGGGGGCAGCAGCCCTGGCTTTACCCATGGCGAACCTGCAACCACACAAAAAAGGTCAAAAATCGGTGGGAACCGGCGAGAATCGTTCGGAAACGGTCAAAAACTGCTCGATTCGGACCGAGTCAGAGCGGCGGAGGCGCAAGGTTACCTAGGGTTTTCGAGAACAAGACGAAGACGCGGAGAGAGAGAGTAAACTACGCCCTTGTTTTTGTTGTTGCGGTGCGTGGATGTGAAATTGGCGAAAGGGCCGAAGGGGGGGGGATAAGAAGGAATTAAGAAGGGGCAAAACCGAATTTCGACTAACCCAAAAAATTGAAGTTTTGGGTTTCGGCGGGATTACGAAAATGTTTTGCCGCGTCAGCTATCCGTGCGCTACGCCTTCATTTGCTGCTGGGCTCTCCCTTATGTGCTTCCTTGTGTGCTTCTTCGCTAGCGAGGAGGGCACGTGGGGATGCACGAGATAGGGGTAGGGGCGAAATGACGGATTTGGGGTTTGGTTTTGTGGGTTGGGGTCTGGTGGTTGAGAGCGATCGAATCGATAGAATAAAACGCGTAGTACGCAACAGCTGTATTGGCGTGGGATATTATTGAAGCGGGGGTAAATAAGTAAATGTGGTGGTTTGATATTTTGGGCTTTTTGGATTATTTTTCTAATTAGGGTTTTGACGGATGGAAAAGTTGGAGATATTTGTAAGTGGGCTGTTGGGTTGCAGAGAAGCAAAAACTTGGTTAAACTGAACCCCGTTGCACTTGGTACGGAAAAAAAAGGTGACAAGTAAGTAGGGAGAATTCTTCCATGTTCGGACCCAACCACGTATCCCTACGGTTCAAGATTCGGAAAGTGCCGGGTTCACCCGACCCCAATTTGTACCCCTCACACTGTATCCAGTGGCCTCACACGAGCCTCGCGACAAGTGGAGCATGTTCTAATACAATATAGTATATATACCCACACACAAATTCTGTGAAATTTTTTTACTTTTGTTGTTAAAATTGAAGGAGAGGGGAAGAAAGTGAAAGAGAACGTAGAAGCGAGGAGAAAGGAAGAGAGGTTGTTTCTTCATTTTTTTCTAACTAGAAACGACAAAATTATATGTAGGTAAGGCTTAAAAAAACAGAAAAATTTTATCGTGTGAAATTACGTTACTATCCTTAACTTTTTTGTTATGATAAAAGACAACTATATCTTTTTACCCTTCTTTGATTGACAAATAGAATTTCATTAATGTAATTTTAGATAATGTACAATGGAAAGTGATTTCCCCATTCGCTTTTTTTTTTCCTTTGTCGCTCCTTTTTGTCTATAGATAAGCACTAATCTTCAACCCACTACATTCCTAATTACAACGTCACCCCCTGGATTTAGTATAGTGATAGCTTGAAACAAAACACAAAACTAAGAAAGAATTTTTTATATGTACTTATCCAACAAGTAATGCTAAGGAGACTAAATTTATAGATAAAATTTTGTAAATTAAATGACATGAAAGTTAATGATTGAGTTATTACATAAGCATTAATAAACATACACATTCTTATTGATGACACATCATTTAGTTTACAAATTTTGTTTAATTTAGTCTCCCTAGTAATACATTTCTCGAATAAGCAATTAGGCCCTTTTATAATCAGTCTAGAATACGCCCTTAATACTTGTTGTATCACTTATTAGTGGGAATACCTTACAGAATACGAAATATGCTTTTAGCTCTTCCAAAAGCAATTCGAACAAGCCCTTGTATTTCATCGCTTTGCACGTGCTGCCCAAAAAATCTTCCGATATGGAGAGAGGGGTAGTAGAAACCCGCAATGGAGACAAAATTCTTGTCGTTGTAGGTTAAAAGTGATTTGGAGGCTTCAATTAACTAGTTGAATAATAAGGAGAGTTATCTTTTATTCATTGATCTTATTTGATTCATTTGATCAAACAGCCACAAATTAAGAGTGAGAAGTAAAAAAATATAGATAAATAGCACGCTCCTATGCTTTATTGAATACATCTGATAACATCACAA